GGGCACAGGATCCCCAGGAGGCTGAGGCCGGAGGGTCTCAGGTTGGAACCCAGCCTGGACAAGTTAGGGGCTCAGTGAGACCCTGTCTCGAAATAAAAAATGAAAAGGGCTGGGTTGTGGTCTGCTTCAAACAGCCTGAACGTACGACATGGGTCAGCTGGAGCCAGCCAAGCCTGCACTCCACTCCACCCCACCCCAGTGCCACCTTCCCATGCCGCGGGGCTCCCTGCCCAACAGTGTAGGGGCCGAGAGTCTACGCACTACTTCCTGTCCCCGCAGACATTGAAGCGGAGGGGCGTGGGCCTCGATGGGCCTGAGCTGGAGCCAGAGGAAGGGCCCGAGGGACCGGGAGAGAAGTTGCGGAGGTTGGCAGGGGATGGAGGTGACCCAGCCCTGCCCCGACCCCGGCTCTATGTAAGTGATCTCTGCCTCACCCGAGGGTCCTCCTGGCACCACCCAGGCCCACGTGGTGGCAGCGAGGATTGAGAGGAACCTAGGGCCTGGGAGCCTGAAGTTTGGAGATGGTTCTCAGCCTGGATGGGAAGGGAAGGCTTCCTCAAAGGACGGGCACTATAGTTGGGGCTTTGAAGGATGAATACGAGTTCAACAGGCAGACAGTTCCTCCTTGTGACTTCTAGTCATCACATTCCCCGGGCAGCCCCTCAGTGCCTCTTCCCGCCCATGCGCCTCTCTGTCCACAGCCAGCTGCCCCCACGATACCCAGCCCCGACATGGTGTACGGGGCCCTGCCACCTCCAAGCTGTGACCCCAGCGGGCTTGGGGAGGCCCTGCCCGCCCACAGCCGGCCGTCTCCCTTCCGACCAGCCGCCCCCAAAGCCGGGCCCCCCGGTGAGTGTGAGGGTGGGGAGTCGGGGGCCGCGCATCACCCCAAACCCTCAGCCTGGCCTGGATGACGTGACCGCCGCCCTCTTTCGGGGCCCCCTCTCCCCAGGCCTGGGACACCCCCTCTTCTCCCAGAGCCACCTGTCCAGCAAGACACCGCCCCCCCTGTACCTGGCCGCGGATGGGCGGCGGCCGGATCTGCCTGGGGGCCTGGCGGGGGCCCGAGGGG